TGTGTTATTACCAATAATTGCAAGTTAAGGACTTGGCAAGTTTGTCCAGATAGGTTTTGACATATATGTGTTCTTTTTATTCGAAAAGTCAGCTTTATTATTATACTAATTTATAACTTCCGTTTTGTTTTACCTTGTCATCTGTTAGGTTTTTTTTAAATAAAAACGCTAATCACAACATCCCTGACATAATTAGGTTTCCGTGTGCGTTTCTATTGACCACTATAAAAAGTCGCATGAACATGCAATCAAGTGACACGTTTTGTGTTGTTTCAGCTTTACTTATCTTCTCTTTCCTTTTGGGTAAATTGCTGTTTTTGTAACTGGCGCTGTGGTTGGCATTTGTTATGGACGTATGTATACATGTGCAACGAGTACGCGTCTGTATAATTATTTCATATTTAATATTTCTATACCATATTCATTTAACATTTAATAATACACGAAACCTACAGAAAGTAGGACTTGGTCAGGGGTCCCATTTCAACACGTTTCAATTGATGTAAGCTTTGGTTATATATATATTTTTTTAATTAGAGTTTGGTGTACTATTTGTGCTAATGTAAGAACAAAAAATATAGCATGTCAGCGTCATGAACTGTACGTTGAAGAGACATAGCTTTTATACTGAGCTTAGAAATATTTGACGTCATAATATGAGGGTTTGTGAAAACAATTGATAAATTATTCAACAAAATCTGTGTTTATCCACAAGTTACTTCTTGATAATTTCATTGTGGGTAAAATTAACGTGGATGTTTTTCTGGTGAAACATCAATAGATATAAAGATAAGTGTCACTTACCTTTATATGAAGAACAAGGTAGTCTCAGTAACCTCTTTACGGAAACCTCCGTTCGAGAACCAAGTTAGCGTCACTAACCTCTATAATGGAACCTATGAATGTCCTATAAACCTTTATACCGGACACTAGTTAGTGACACCGACCTCTATACGGAAAACTAGGAAGTGTCACCTACCTGTACACGGGAAACTTGCTAGTGTCACAAAGCTCTATACGGAGAACTAGTTACTGTAACCTACCTCTATACGGGTAACTTGTTATGTCTCAAACCTTTTTTTTCTAAAACCAATAAGTGGCATTAATCTGTATATGGGAACCAAATAAGTGTCATAAAAAAAAAAATCAAACACAAATCATTATAAATACAACCTGGGTGTTTTGAAATAAAACTAAACTTTATGTCTTTCTTTAGTTAGCAATTACGTCATGCTGCCATTTGTCGTTCTGTGTGCGATCCTCCTAGCTGTCGGTGTCCGACGAATTACAGAACGTATATTTAAAGGTACAGTAAACTGAATACAGCACCCTGACATATTTTGTCTGGGTATTGGACTTAGATATATGTTACCGATTTCTGATACAAATCACCTGGTAATATTCTATATTTAATAGAATCAGCACGAGTCTGTTGACCAAACAACTTTTTGTTGTGGCGTGTATGTACGAACTAAAATTACTACATATAAAAGTCAAATACAAATGGTTGAACTTTTGCTAGTTAGTAATTTGATTAATGATGGATCAAAATGTTTCCTTTTCTGAAAATGCTATTGTTGTGAAGTCATTTGTGATGCTCAGCTAGGTGAAATACCAACTTTTAGATTCGTTTTATATATCTGATTCGAAACAGAAGAGTATGAAGTTGATTAAATACAACGTACATGAATGTTATAAACTGATCTTTTGGGCAGGCATAAGTCTTGTGTATAGTATAGTAATTTATATTCGATCGACAGGTGCAATTGTTAAGCAAAATGTACAATATCCATTTCACATTTTATAACCTTTACAGCTCCATCTTTGTGAAATAACAATGTGGAAAATTCGTATTGAAATATGATCATAGGTAATCAGCAGAGACACAATATTAACCGGGAAATGGCCGAGATCACACGTGAAGACGAATCTGATGAGGTTTACCATCAGTCACGCCAACAAGATGAGGGCGTTGCCTTCCTGTCTATGTGGGACATGGGCGGGGACCTGGGCTTTCAGGCTACCAACTCTTTGTTCGTCAGCGCCCACGGAGTCTACATCGTCACGTTCAGGGCCATAGACTACTTCACTGACGACATACAGATGGGTAAGTAATTATGACAGCAATCTAAGCATTTATATATAAAACAGACATCTCAAAAGGATATCTTATTTCTTTAAAAACATAACTGATCAGCATATAAGACATTTAATACTTAAGTATATTTTCTAATTAGCGGATAGTACGTTGTTTTTCGTGTCTATAGTGAATTTTTAGTAGAAATACGAGGAGGAAAATACGAGGAAAAAATAGGAACGGAAAAGGGGAAAAAAATACATATATCAATATTTTAAAACTGAAAGGGAGAAAAAATCAGTAAGTTATTTCAAAGATTACATTTAAGTACAAAACTGATCAAGAATTTCAAAAATTGTTTTTAGTAAAGAGAATGAATGAATACCCGGTAAAAAGAACATTCTAGATGTAATACGAATGTTTAAGGTACACTTGTAATATTGAACCTGAAGTAAGAGCATCAGGGAACTATTAAGTTTATAAAATATGCATTCTTAATGAAATGAAATTTTAAAAGAGGTATTTGCGACAGATGATTGTATGACTGATAACAATATTCCAGATACAAACATTTTATTAAATATTATTCATGTTGCATAACCAGCTAGATAACCTTTTTGTGTAGCCGAATAGATGTCGATTCTTTATTACAAATTCATACATATATTGTACCTTTGTGTACATAAGCTTCACTTGTCATTTGTCTGATAAAGGTGACATGCATGAATCGAGATACATCGAAACATCACATAAGATCACTTACTGGTTGTGCTACCTGAACCGTTCTACAATCCATACTTACCAACATGAAAAAATAAAACGTTTAGAAATGCTCCAAAATAGTCAACAGCCATGTATTGGCACCGCCGTTAACTTTCTTGGAAAAGCAGGCTCACATAATAGGAAACAAAGACGTGCTTACAGTTAGGCATGGTGTCTGGTAGTGGATAATGTTGAAAGTCAAATGTTCTGATCGAGAAACGTACGTAATATATTTAAAACAATACAATTAGAAACAATATTATGTTTAAAACTTAGTGTTTTAAGGGATTGTCAGCAAATGTATATTTAAGTTTAAACAACTTATAATACAAAAGAAGGGATTTGGCGTCAATTATCAAGACGTATTGATGCCTTTATCCACATGAAATAAAACAATTCATAATGACGCAGTAGTCTAGCTGTAAATATCCAGTTGTATTAATAGGAGGGGAAAGCGTAGGCGATATGAAGATCTATCGATCGAGGAAACTGGTTGAGGCATTGATTCTTTTTTCTAAATATGACATTACAATAGTCTTTTGACTCTTATTTATTGAGGGAGCTAATATAACTCGCAACCATTATTTTCGCAAACAGTACGACTGAAAAACTGGGTCCGTAACATCGGAGCCTACTCTTCCCGCGTGTACAATCCGAGTAAACAGTACCCACATCATCCACCGATCATCTTGGTTGGCACACACATGGACCAGGTCAACAGCAAGTTTAAGGTAAGACAGGGTGCTGTTGTTATATTTCTGCCACGGACAGAGTGATTTAAACTTCCTATGTACAGGTTTACCATGTACTTTGTAACGATATATTGCGGTAGTGACCTGTAGTTCAAGGCCACAATAATGCAATTCGAATTTCCTACAACAAAATATGCACATCAACTTTCATATGCTTTGTCTATATCGGTGTCCTGGAGTGGGTCAGCACGTTTCTGGCATTAGATCATTTTGTTCAGCCTTTAGGGCATCACGTGTTTTTTTTTTTTTAAATTCAACTCCCAAACAAATGATGTTATAATCACAGTTTCCTTTTTATAGAATTACCTATCACCGTCATAAGTGTACTAGCTCATATTCCTTTTTGTCTTTAGTTGTCAACGAAACAATGCAACTTAAAAGACATTTGTCAAGCTCAGTGTTGAAGATAACATGGATGATACGTTTCTTATTTATTGTGCCGTGAGGAAACTTGGAAATAGCTACAGGTGGCTGGCTGTTTTGGTAGCCGAATTCTTATTCTCGTTTTTCTCAATAAAATCGTTAATATCGGCGCTGACACTCCTTGATGGCCAAGTATCCCCCATTCCTGTTGCTTCTTTAGGCACAGACGTTTTCTTGTTTAAACTGGTATACATTTGTAAGTTAGCTGACGGTGTGAATATTTCACTACGATTTACGTTCCTTTTTGTTATTGTACCCATAACCATGCCACCCATGTAAGATAACAGTGGCGGGCAAGGTTATATTACATGGGTAAAGTTTATTTTACACGACCGCATGCGAGAGTATAGTGATGATTCAAAGCACGTCCTTAGAGCATTCACCTCCTCAAAGGTTCATCATTGGGTCTGAGATTTCTCCACAATAATTAATTATTATCACCTAATGAAGTTCTCTGCTAGTATGGTTTAGTGTGAATATGATTTCTTTTTGTAGAATGAAAGTCCTGAGGAGAACAAAACAAAGCTGGAGGACATGTGGAAAGACATATGTAGCATCACTGAACTTACAAATGTAAAGAAAGCAGAAGGGTTTGTGTTTCTTAGATTCTGCACGGTTAACAACTCCATTGACGATGACCCAGCATTCGAGAAGATCAGGAAACATATCCTGGAAGCAGCGGCCTACCAGGATCAGTGGGAACGTGAACTGCCAGCGACGTGGCTCGCCCTGGAGAGGGAGATTCTGATAAAACGGAAATGGAAACACGTTTTGACATTTCAAGAGATCCAAGACATGGATGTACAGTGTGAATCTTCTATTGGTGAAGAGGAAGAAATCAAGATGTTTCTTGAGTATGATTACGTTATTAAAATACTGAGTTCATAAAAAATATAAAATGTTGAAAAGTATTCGTATTTCATGTAAATGTATTATCAGTTAAAAACTTTTAAAGGTGTGTGAAAAGTAAATAGGTTTGGTTCGATGATCCACTCGACATGCGTGTCTTGAAAACGGTTTTCTCTTTGCCTTTTGTTGCTGTTGTCAAATTAAATTGTTCTAATAGCGTTACTGTTTTTCAGGTACCTTCACTCAACAAGATCTGTACTGTATTTTCGAAAGTATGGAAAAGTGATAATCAACCCACAGTGGGTCATGAACGCTTTCCGGGAAATCCTCACGGACAAAAAGTTCCCCCCTACCGACGACGTCCTCCTCGGAGCTGACTACTTCAAATACACAGAAAACGCCATCCTGACAGTGAATCTAGCAAAGAAGCTGTGGCAGTCCAAAGAAGATAATTCGTACATTCAGCATGTCGACATTTTATTCACCTTCCTTGAAGAGTTCGGTCTCCTGCTAAAGGCGTGTCTTGGTCAGGATAAGGAGGGGAAACCACTGTACGATGACGACTACACCGTACCGAGCAAACTCGAAAAGGCACCACAAGACATGAATCCAATCTCAAATCTTCTCGAAGGAAAAGTTCGTTCACGAACACTGTGCTTCGTATTTGAGGATGTCTTTACTCCCCAGGAATTGTTCGACCGGATATACGCCGGAATCATTAAGACGTTCAGACCAGCGGAGGAAACGTCTGGAAATCTGCGCATCTATAAAGGTCTTGGCTGCTTTAAGATAGACGATCTCTGTAACATGGTCGTTCGGATGCATTGGGAACAGTCTGTGATAGCGGTCACGCTGTTTACGACTTCAGAACCAAAGATTCCTGATGACACCGGGACAAAGGTAAGACAGAAACTGGAGACAATCATACGACACACTCTAAAAGTTAGCCGCCAGGAACACATGGAGTACAGATACAAGCTTCACTGTAGGTTCTATCTGAAACCTTCTGACAATCTGCGAGAGGAAGACGGGATAGTTAGGACAACACAAGGACTGCCCTGTCAGGGAGAAGGCTGTTCAGGGAAACACTACCTCACAAAACAAGACTGGCACAAATGGTTTCCAGTTCCCTCTGAGACAAAGGTAACTTACCAGGCGGACTTGTTCAGTTGTATAAAAGGCACATCTTTTATTTGGTGAATTTGAACTCATTGCCAATTATTTATTTTGTTTTTAAATAACAATGTTTTAGTGAAAATAATGACTTACTTTCGCTTTCAAAATATGTGTTTGATTTATATGACTATCATTTTATATATACACATTCAACAAATGTGTTTTTCTTTCTTCCTAGAATATAGAGAGTTGTATCACAACTAGATCATATGGTAAGTGTTTATGTACGTGATATATACATCAGTTTTTGATATGTATATATTGATTGGAAACGGCTGTAATTGATACCTTAAGTGTCCGTGTTTTATGGATACAGTCAAACCTGCCTTATAAAGCACTTGTTTATAGCTACCTTCCAATACTAAGAGTGGTAAGATTTACTCTTGAACTTAAGATAACACTTAATTAACACGGGTAATTTCATAATGCTGTCTAAATGTTCTGTAAAGTAATGTTGATCATGATTACCTTATTACATTTACTGACTCCAAGATAGTTTTCTTAGACTAACAACTGGTTGAATCAATGATAATTATTCTTGTTTCAAGCTAACGAGTTGCTGACTGACAAGGGTCTACAGGAGAGTGCAAAACAGCTTGGAGCAAATTGGGAATGTGTTATGACTCAATTAAGAGTTAGCAGTAGTCAACTTGAAAGGATAAAATTAGGTAATCAGCATTGTGTCCTCACCCAGATAAAGAAAGCGTTGATCCACTGGCGAGACACCTACCCCGCACACAAGTCGGAGACGGAAATGTTGGGAGATTTATCGGAGGCTTTCCAAAAATATGACGTCTGCCGTGAAGTCATAGATCACAAGCTGTAGCTACTAACGAGGTCAGACTTCCAGATCTAGTAGTTATGAAAAGCTATTGTGACATTCAGCATATAGCTGTCTAGGTCAATGTTTATAAGCTCTTGTAGAATATTTCGCCAGATTACTTAACGCAGATGGGGGACATTATGTCGATCATTTTTTGCTGACCTGTGTTTGTGACTTTATAAACCAAATTATACGAGATAACTTTGCCCGCTCCTCTTTTGTCCTATTGAGATATATCGGTAATGATTTGCTGTTCAGTAACATAAAGTTGGAAGTCTACTTGAATCTCGTTTAGTCCTCTGTGCGAGCCTCTTCTCTAGTTTTGACACCAATGATTATCTTTCTTCCTAAAACACGTGTCAACTATGATTTTGCAATCGTTTACTGTCCTTTCATATATACATGTAGAAGCATAACATTTTGACATTATGGCGTTCACAAGTCACAGCTTCATCCAGGTCAGATCGGTAACGTCCTAGTGATCACACTCGATGTTGTTTAAAACTGAGCAAATCCCCAGGGTCATTTCGGTGGAATAAATTGTTTGCCAGTAAGGCAGTATTTCCCACATTATCCTTGGCAGCTGCAGTGTTTTCCCCTTCAAATGTGTACAAGATGGTCCAGATAAAAGATTGTTTAGATCATTACATTACCACTGGTTGTTACGTGTGAGGTGCATCCATCCAGCCACTGAGCACACTCCATCGTGTTTACCTAATAAGCGAGACCCCAGGGTGATACTACATCGATAGATTTCCCCCTCAAAAGAGCACCAGGCTACTCATTTGCATCTTAAAGAGAATCTGGTGAAAGATATGTCAGGTGAAGATTTAAGATACGCAAGTGAAGACGCAAGTATAGTTTTAAGAAAGTTTTATATGTTCGTCCTAAAACAAAGGACTATATATACATTTACCTGCCATAACTCATTTAGTGTATATTACAACATTCTTTTGTTGCAGACAAGAGGATTAGGAAGATTCAAAACCGCCGAAGAAAATAAAAACTCAAGTACAGCGCCAGCTTATATCTATGTAATCATGTATATGAATTGGACAAACGTTTTACTAATTTGAACATGACAAGACTATATCATGTACGGCATTGTAACGATCCGTTAGTGATTAGTCAAAGACAATATGGATAGGTTTAGTGCCATGTGTACTTCGATAAAAGTCAACTGGTACAAATCTGTAAGGACATATCAGTGTTCACCTGATATGTCAGAGTGTACATAAAGGATATTTAATGATGTCGCAGCACTCGTGAAAAATATCAAAATATAAGCCACACTCGTGAAATATATTTGTTATTACGGAAGACACCATTAAATTTTCTATTTATTCCATTTTTAAAGCATAACACTTGAAAAATGTAATGCATTAAAAAAGGGCGGGAATCGGAAGGGTAATGATTAGCGCAACATTAAAATGACGTCACGGTTGACAACAAGACTGCGCGCCATTTTGAATGGGATACCTAACGTAATTCCGGCGTTTTCTGCTATTTTCTCGTATGCTTGCTTATAAAAAATGAATTGTATATTCATATGAATTGACTTAAGTGTGTGTACCAAACATTTACCATAACAACCACTTATTCTTCCGTCGCTTCATTTGAATCTTAACAAAACAATCGTTGCCTTTGAATGCAGCAAATAGAAGATACCGTTATGATTGGTCAATACCAAAAAGTGATATCACTTTTGATATTTGTCACAGAATGAAAGATATCAGTTTTATCCAGTTGATAGAATCCGATATTTCACTGGCAAAAATGTAATTAATATGTATATATAGTTGTATATTTTGGTATCATTAAAGACCCGGTCACACTGTCACAAGTCGTTACGAGTTGTGGCGAGTTATAACTCGCCATAACTCTCCAGGTGTAGTGTAGGACTCGAACACATATCTGTGCTTGTCGAAGAGATATCTCTCACATGTCGCCTGTTCTCGGCAAACTGCGGCGAACATTCTAAACGGTTTAAAATTGTCGTGCGAGTTTTGGTCTCGTACACATGTCGAAGACATGTCGTTGGGGGTTCTTCCAATTTCGTACATGTGTGGGGGACATGTCGACTCTTGTCGCCGTGTAAAAAGTCGTTCGATATGCTACGAGTTTAAATGCGAATTTTGGAACACATGAATACATTCTCTTCTCAATATGTCCCCGACATAAAACGAGTTTGTACGACTTCTTCCAACAACTGCACAAATGTGTTCGTGTTCTTTTCGACATCTCCTCGACATTAGTACGAGTTCTGGCGAGTTGCAGTGATNAGGAGTCGAACTGTGTGACCGGGTCTTCAGTAGGAGTCGAACTGTGTGACCGGTTCTTCAGTAGGAGTCGAACTGTGTGACCGGGTCTTCAGTAGGAGTCGAACTGTGTGACCGGGTCTTCAGACTTGTAAAATGCATGTTACCGTGTATTTTGAAAAGAAATGTGCAGACACAATGAATTTTGTAGTTTGTTAAATTGTATCATATGCATAGCTACTTAGCAAATTTTAAAGGTGTTGATTAGCATGGTTTAACGGTACCCTTTTCCTTTTGTGGAAACGGTCTGTAATTATGAAATTGGGGTTCATGTCCCGACCCCAAGGGAAGGCTGGGACCAAAAGAAAAAACAACCGATAATCAAAATGTATATCCATTATGATGTTAAGCTTTTTATGTTATAAGGCGGAAGACATTATATTTCATTCAATTTGAAACGAATTATATTAATTATTTTCGTGCCTATTTTCAAAATTATTCAACTCAGGTTGCTTGCAAGTCTTGTATTATGATCTTACCTTTTAGCAATAGTAGCTCATATTTTCTCCTTTGAATTAGTCAAGTAACTATACCACCTGCTGACAGCAATATCCTGTACACGTAGTCCTTTTGATTCCAATACTCTGTACGTGATTCTGTTGATTCTAATTGACAGTACAACCTGTTGTTTTCCTGTACTGATCATTCTGTTGATTCTAATTGACGGTACAACCTGTTGTTCCCTGTACGTATAAGTATGTTGTTTCTAATTGACAGAACAACCTGATGTTCCACTGTACAGATAATTCTGTTGATTATAATTGACATAACAACCTGTTGTATCCATGTACAGATAATTCTGTTAATTCTAATTGAGAGTACAACCTGTTGTTTCCCTGTACAGATAATTCTGTTAATTCTAATTGACAGTACAACCTGCTGTTCCTCTGTACAGATAATTCTGTTGATTATAATTGAAAGTACAACCTGTTGTTCCCCTGTACAGATAATACTGTTGATACTAATTTAGAGTACAGTCTGTTGTTTCCCTGTACAGATAATTCTGTTGATTATAATTGACAGTACAACCTGGTGTATCAATGTACAGATAAATCTGTTAATACTAATTTAGAGTACAGTCTGTTGTTTCCCTGTACAGATAATTCTGTGGTTTATAATTGACAGTACAACCTGGTGTATCCATGTACAGATAAATATGTTAATTCTAATTGAGAGTACAGTCTGTTGTTTCCCTGTACAGATAATTATGTTGATTATAATTGACAGTACAACCTGTTGTTCCCCTGTACATATAATTATGTTATCTCTAGTTGACAGTACAACCTGTTGTTCCCCTGTATAGATGAGTTTGTTGATTATGATTGACAGAACAGCTTGTTGCCTCCCTGTACAGATATGCTTACTACACACCCTACAGACAGTTGATTCCAATACACGTCACAGAAATTTAATTGCATTACCTTGTACAAATAACCATATTGATTCCTATTCATACACCAGCCAGTTTATTCAAATTCTCTGTAAGATTTCATCAATAACCACTGGCTTGGAAACATATTCACACATCATAGTATGTACACTGATAGACATATATACACACCATAGTATGTACACTGATAGACATATATACACACCATAGTATGTACACTGATTGACATATATACACATCATAGTATGTACACTGATAGACATATATACACACCATAGTATGTACACCGATAGACATATATACACACCATAGTATGTACACCGATTGACATATATACACACCATAGTATGTACACTGATAGACATATATACACACCATAGTATGTACACTGATAGACATATATACACACCATAGTATGTACACTGATAGATATATATATACACACCATAGTATTTACACTGATAGATAGATTTACACACCATAGTATGTACACTGATAGATAGATATACACACCATAGTATGTACACTGATATATATATATATACACACCATAGTATGTACACTGATTGACATATATACACACCATAGTATGTACACTGATAGATATATTTACACACCATAGTATGTACATTGATAGACATATATTTACATTTGCCCCCGCGCCGTCCCATTACAACAGTGTTAGAGGGCAAGTGTAATTATATAGGCTATAATTACAACTGCTCGACTATAATTACAACTGCCTGTTTCAGGTGTAGGAATATGTAAACAAACAAAATGGCCGTCTGAAATGTATTTTGAGGCAGGGCAAATGGTTTTTGTAGGAATATATCTTAAAAAAGAAAAAATATGTAAATATAAAAAATACCTGGTTGTCTGGATGTAATTATTGTTGATATAATTACAAGTGGTCTCTGGCAAATCTACCATAAAACCCTAGCGGGTTTTATAGGATTTGCCAGAGGTCACTTGTAATTATATCAACAATAACTACATCCAGACAACCAGTTATTGTTTAAATATACACACCATAGTATGTACACTGATAGACATATATACACACCATAGTATGTAAACTGATAGACATATATACACACCATAGTATGTACACTGATAGATATATATATACACACCATAGTATGTACACTGATAGATATATATATACACACCATAGTATGTACACTGATAGATATATATATACACACCATAGTATGTACACTGATAGATATATATATACACACCATAGTATGTACACTGATAGACATATATACACACCATAGTATGTACACTGATAGACATATAAACACACCATAGTATGTACACTGCTAGACATATATACACACCATAGTATTTACACTGATAGACATATATACACACCATAGTATGTACACTGATAGACATATATACACACCATAGTATGTACACTGATAGCACAAACGCTCAAACACATAAATTAAAATATTTTTTCCATAAACTACAGAATTGTGATTGGTTAGTTTCAGCACAGGTGTTGGAAAAATGATATACATGGATCTGCTTTAAAAAGATGTGTTTTTTTCTTATTCATACGTGTATTTTTACGCCGTATTCAAAAGTAATATTCAAATTGGCAGTATAATTCATAGAAACCAATTTGTATCTAGTACGTTAGTCAGCTATTTCAGGTATGCCTTATTTTCTGTGTGAGTTGTTTGCTATCTGCTCTCGCGTCACAAAATGTAGATGACAATGAACTTAAAAGGCCTTTTACTCACTCGCAAAAACACGTCAGACTGTTATCGAGACTGAAACGATGATCACGTGACATGTATTACTGTTCTCAGCTCTTGGTATTGGATGCAGAAAATGTTGAACACGTATACCGTGCATATGTGGAGTACCATGAAAGTCCAAAAGCTAGAGAAACAATATCAGCCATGCTGTGGGTATAGATACTTCATAAAGATAACCTCATTTATTGAAATGTTTCTTCGAATGCCGGAAGGAACACAACATTCGTAAACCTATACGTATTACCATTTTAGTTGCATATTTCGTTTAAAAAGAAACTTTGTTGCAGATGAAGTGCTTTTTAATGATCGGAGCGAGTGATTCTTTTGCATTCGATATATCATCAATTTGTTTATGTTAAACGGCGTATGCTTATCATATCACGTGTCCTTCTATCACGAGATTTCAAATTATGTTCAACAATACCACTCCAGTATAATCTTTATTACTCCAGTATAATTATTACTACACAAGTATAATCTGTACTATGCGAGCATAAACTATACTAAGCCAGTAAAATCTATACTACGCCAGTATACACTCTACCATGGCAGTATAATCTTTACTACGGCCGTATAATGTATGCCAGGCCAGCATAATATTTACTCACTAGTATAATCTAAACCATGGCTGTATAATCTATACTACGCCAGTATAATCTATATATATGATGCTATGCCAGTATAATATATACTATCCGAGTATAATCTATACCATGGCAGTATAATCTATACTATGACAGTATTATCTTTAAATAGCTGTTGAATAATTCTGTTGATTATTTTAAATGTTAAATTGATATTGAATGAAAAATCTCCCATTTAGGTACAGTTGGTAAGTTAGCTTTTACGACACTGACACTAAAAATATAGCTTAAAAAATATGATATCAACAAATAAAAAAAATATCAAAATTTGTTTTAATTTTTGTTTCTTTCAACATTAATTAAAGCATTTTAAAATGAGATTTGTTTTAAAGAAATATCATAGTTAGATTATTCAATCAATAGTATTGTATTATAAATGTTCGTTGTTTCTGTTAATAAAAGGT